CATCTTCCCGCCATTTCCACTTCCCTCGGTTGCATCGCACGAAGCGTTGCTGGTGTATCTTTTTGAACGTCAGGCTACCTCACCGCACGTGACTTCGCTATAACACACAAGAAGCCTTAACGAACCGCACTCAATCTCTCAGGAAGCAGAAATTGCGAAAATGTGCGACAATATGCGGTAACGACAAATTCAAACCTGTTACACTACAGCCTCACTCACTCCCCCCAACCTAGCCGTACACTATTCCTCGCGCTCTTCCTCGCAAATGCATCACCTCACCACCTCCTCTCACGCCGCCACTGAAGGGAGCGAGCGAGTGATTCAGCAGGAGTGTAATACATAATATCCTAGGACGGTGCGACCACTACGGATTGTTTAGTGCAGCGAGCTTATTTGCCCATTCGAAACAGCACAAGCTGTTTCGCGCTCTGGGCTCGTGCCTTACCGCCTACCAGGCACTGCGACCAGCTCCGCCTCTCTGATTCCCTGGCGCAGCCGAGAAGACGCGGGAGACATTTCTCGATCCCCAATTCTACATTTCTCGACATTTCGCCTCAGCCGCTAGTTCTACGTCTTCCTTTCCTCCAGGAAGGCAATCCCTCCATCGTTGGCACATCCCTATAGACTCACGCGATATAGGCTATCATACCAGTGTTCCGCGCAGCACATGGCGCCTGTATGCGCGGAACTCGGGGTTGCGCGGCTGGGAGAAACCCGCGCAGGAGCTCTCGCGCGGCCGCTTCCCCTGCCCACTTCCACCGACCGCGCAAATCCACTGCCAGTAATATCACGCCACGCGCATTTGGACTCAAGAGGGACGTATGACGTGGCAGTAGCCAGGTTATCAAGCAGAGGTTCAGTCGCGGACGCGAGAACGGCGGCTCGGCGACGCGGCTCCGTCTGCTGCGCTAGCTGCTGCTTTCACACGGCTACGAATTCTCGACGTGATCGATCATCGTCATCGTCGTCGTCCTCCGTTGGATCCCAGCCGCGGCTACTGCCGTGGGACGCGCTACGGATCTCGCCGCCGCGAGCGCTTAGCTCGGGAGCGAAAGGATCGGGCGCGATGATTGGCGGAAGCGGAAGCGGAAGCGGTGTGGTGCGCGGAGGTGCGCGCGCGCGGACGGGCCGCCCGCTTTCCTGCGGGCGGCAACCGCTCTTAAGGTACGCTGCGCTGCCCCTCCCTTCCCCCAGCTATCATTCCCCTCGCCTTCTCCGTACCGTGCTGAATTGCTTCTAACCGATTTCTCTGCTGCTTTTCTGCTCTTGAGCAGAATAAGGGGGTCGCCCTTGGCGGTCCGCTGCGCCGGTTCTGGCTCGGACGGCATCAATTGGACGAAACCCGCCGACACCGCACGAGACGGCGCCAACGCCGGCACCGGCAGCGACAGCGGCAGCGGCAAGGGTAGTAGCAGCGACAACAGCGGCAGCAACAGCAACAGCACCAGCAGTTCTCAATCCAACAGCAATGGCGCCTCGAGCAACAGCGGCTTTGGCGGCTTCGACGGCTTTAAGAGCTTCGCATCGTCGTTCCAAGGCTTTGGCAAGGGTGGCGGCGGCGGGAATGGCGGCGGGAAGGGCGGCTTTAACTTCCGAAACTTCGCCGCCGGCAGTAAGAGCGGCAACGGCGGCGGGATCGGAGGCAGCCCGCGGAGCGCGAGCAGCGGCAGCGGCAGCGTGAGCGATCCGCAGAAGAAACTGGCGGATATCGTGGCGGACGTGCGGCGGCTGGGGCTGTCGGGGATAGTGTTCGGCGCGATCTGCGGCATGCACGGCGTGGCTCACGGCACGCTGGGCGGCACGGGGGATCGCGTGCTGGATGGACTCTCGCAGATATGGGTGCGTGCATGCGTGAGAGCGGGGAATGAGTGAGGGCGGAAGTGAGTGAATGAGTGAGTGAGGGAGGGAGAGAGAGAGGGAGGGTGAAGGGAGGGGGGGAATGAGTGAGAGGACAAGTGACTGACATATTCCTTCCTCCCCTTTAAAGTGACTAAAGAAGAAGATGTTGAAAAAAAGGACGTTGAATGCGGATTGTTCTCGTTCAAACCGAAACTGCCAGGCTTGCGTGGCTTGGATCGAACGAACGCAATGAAAACTGCATGGAAAATCCAAGAATCTCCCAACGAATCCAAGTGAGGGACCACATTCCCACTCACATCCTCCTACAATCACCACCCTCTCTCCCTCCCTGTTCCCCTACTCTCCCTCTCCCTCTCCCTGGCCCGTCCTCACCCCCCCTTTCCTCCCCTCCATCCCCTCCATCCCCTCCGTGCCACCCACGTGTCATCCACGTGTCATCCACGTGTCATCCACGTGCATCAGTTCATCTTCATCCTGCTGGACGTGGTCTTAACGGCTGCCACGTGGATTGCTGGAGGCGCCGCGGAGCTGCTGGTTCTGTCGTTCGCTATGGTGAGAGGCGTGGAGGAAGGGGAGGGGATGGGGAGGGGGAGGGGAGGGGAAGGGAGGGGAGGGGATAGGGAGAGGGAGGGGGATGGGGAGCGAAAGGAGGGGGGGCGCAGGGATGGGGATAAGAGGGGACGAGGGGGAGGGGAGAGAGGATAGAGAAATTTATGAGGGGAATGGGTAGGGTGCTGTGCTGCGCTGTGTTTCTCTGCTGGTGTGAATTGAGTGTGTGTGTGTCTCTCTCTCTCTCTCGCCCTCTCCCACACTCACACATGTCCGCTTTCTCCCTCCCTACGCGCTACCGTGCCCCCTGCCTGTGTCAGTGCCCTTGGTGCGGCCACCAGTTCCATTATCACAGGTATGCCCCTTTTTTCCACTGGCACACGCGTGCACTATGCACCCCCCCTACTGTGCCCCCTGTGGTACGCCCTACCGTGCCCTACCCTGCCCTACCGTGCCCTCCCTACGCCCTACCGTGCCCCCTGCCTGTGTCAGTGCCCTTGGTGCGGCCACCAGTTCCATTATCATAGGTATCACATTTATGAAACACATGCACTATGGCACACGAGTGTGCCCCATCCTCGTTACCCCCCCTGCCTACTTGTTATCTCCCCGTAACTCCCATGTGCTCCCATTTGTCGCGCTCACGATTTTCCAGGCGCCTGAAAAAAAAAAATCATTAAAATATATATATATATATGTATATATATTTGAGCCGCCTTGTAAATGCTGCCGTTTGCCAGCCACACGCCTGCTATGGTGACCACTGCCATGTCTCCTTCTCTCATGACCTTCTATCGCCTCCTGTCCCCTCCGAATGTTCAGACATCCCTCCTCCTCCCACGTGTTTCCGCATGTCACTTGTTTCGTTCCCCGCTTGCCTGCGTCTGCCCCTGCTTGCACACATTTGTCCCGTGTTTCCCCTGCAACCATTGCTACTCCAGAGACTTTTTCCAAGGGGTGATGGCCTGCCCACGTTGCTTCCATCCCCTTCGATGTATGCCCCTCCTTTCCACCCACCTCTTCTTCCCCCCCTTCCCTCACTCTTTCCACCTCTTCCCATCCATATCTCCATCCTCCTCATCTGCTCGCTGCTCGCCCCACTCCCGTGGGTTTATTACACATCTTTTCTGGTTGTTTTTGTTGTCTCATCCGCCCACACACACCAAGCATTCATCGCCCATCCAGTGTCCTCCAGATCTTTGTGACCTCCTCTGTGCACTAACCTAACCCATCTCACTCCGCCACACCCCACTCTACCCTGTCCCACCCCACCCCACCCCACCCCACCCCACACCACACAGTTGAGAACGGCATGTTCCTCCGTGACCGTCCGCGCTTCTCGCGTGTGGATTTCAGCTATGATGTCTTTGCCGAAGCAGAGGATGATGATGGTGAGTTGTTGGTGGTGATGGTGATGGTGATGGTGATGGTGATGGTGATGGTGATGGTGATGGTGATGATGACGATGACGTTGCCGGCTACGATAATGATGCAGAATTTACAACAATGCTTGCATCCATCGCGCGAGCTTGGTTCGCTGTTATTCACCCCATTCCTCCGCTTTTACTTCCTTCCCTCTCACATTATCCTCCGTCTTACTTGTGTTCCCTGTTCCCCTGGCTTTCCCGTGTTTCCTGTTTCTTGTTTCCTGTTTCCTGTTTCCTGTTTCCTGTTTCCTGTTTCCTGTTTCCCTCTTCCCTCCTGCGTCTGCCCATCTGCAGTGCGGAAACAGAAGGCCCTGCCTCCTGTTGTGGATGTAGACGCTACGATCACCGACAAACACTGACAGACAGAGCTCTTCGGAACATACAGATGATGCCCACGGCACAGCCAGTTGCCCAGGGCACACACAGACTGCTGCCCATGGTACATGTGCCTGAGAGTAAAGCTACTCAGCCAAATGCGCATGAGAGTGCAACCAACGGCAGTCTCCTTGCTTCCACGTCCAAATGACAGCAAGTGGGACATGGAGCAGCAGTAAATGTTATGATTTCTGGGGTTGCATTTAGGTTCAGCCTCATTGGGTTTGTTTCATCCGGTACGTGGCATTGGACGTTCCTTTTACGACCGAGTGTTGATGGTCCGTTCTCAACTCTCTTTGGTAAATTTTCATGGGTTTGTGTGTGGGGGTGTGGGGGTGTGTACGGTATATGTGTGTGCGTGTGTGAGCTTGTGTGCATCCATGTGTGTGGGCGGAGGTGTGCATGCATATGAGCCGCAGTGCACATTTTATGATGCATCTTGATTGCTTTTATCTATGAGAAAAGAGTTTTCACCATTTTTCCCTGTAGTCCTCAAATCCCACCCCCTTGTATTTTGCCAGTTAGAACCGTGCTCAGGGTTGCATAAGGATGATGGATCAATAAATACTAGGTGTGTGTGTACTCCAGTAAGGGCCTGTAACCTGTTGATGAACCAGTAGTGGATTTGTTCAGCAGAAACAGGACCCTTTCTGCTCATGATACCGGTACCTGTACATTGATGTACAGTACTGGTTTGCTGTTGTACCAGGGCATACCCTTTTCAAAGTAAGAAAGTGCTTTTAATAAAGCAGTCAATGTTTCAGCTTAGTCTGGATAACTGAGAAGAGCTCAGCTTAGCTGGCCGCAGTCAGCAACGACCACAGGCTTCCTTGTAGCACCCTGCAAGTAACAAGTGAGATGCGTCAGGCAGCACATTTAGCTCGTAAGGTTCATGCTAGTGAACCTTGTTCAACAAGCATGGATACCATACTTACCCCAGCAGTGCCAACAGCCTCAACTGCCTTGACAACGTTCATGCCCTCGACTACACTGCCGAAAACTACATGCTTCCCATCAAGCCACGGAGTCGCCACCGTGCAAAGGAAGAACTGCAAGGGCAAGGGAAGGGAAATTACAGGCAAAGGCTTCAGAGCCAGCAGTACAGGGGCCAGCAATAATCCAACAATAAAACAGTTGGTAGGCCATGTGAATCTGAAGTGCTGAAAGCAAACGAACCTGGGAACCGTTGGTATTTGGGCCAGCGTTCGCCATGGAGAGAATGCCAGGTCCGGTGTGCTTCTTAATGAAGTTCTCATCGGGAAACGTTTCACCGTAGATGCTCTCCCCTCCGGTACCATTGTGCCGTGTGAAGTCACCTCCCTGTTCAGGCGAAGCACAATGACCCTTGGGACTACCGTTAAGCAGGGCGAGTTTCAAAACAGCAATATAATGTGCTGTTAAATATGCAACTAACATTACCTGGCACATGAAGTTTGGAATGACGCGATGGAAGGAAGAGCCCTTGAAGTGAAGGAGCTTTCCAGGACGGTTCTTCTCGCCTGTGGGACACATACTCCAATAAATCAGGAGCTGACCAAAACCAGAAGCATTCCAACAGTGGCCACTTGACAATCGCACTCACCAGTGCATAGGGCGCGGAAGTTCTCAGCTGTCCTGGGCGTAACATCACTATAGAGCTGCAGGCAAATATGATAGGAATAAAAGCGGTAAGGCAAGGAATCAGACCACTAGTCTTTCGGAAATCCTTCCGGGAAACGTTCGCGTTGTAGAGCACGAACCTCCATGATTATCCTGCCAGCCGGAGCTCCCCCAATGGTGATGTCGAAGAACACTCTGGGGTTCGGCATGACGAATGGCTGACCTGGGAATCAGATAACCACACCAGGAAACAAATGCCAAGACCAATGAGTTCAACAATTGGAAACATTATCTGCGTTACACGTTGCGACAAACACGGTAAGACATCCCCAGCATACCTTGAGTGGAAGGTTGGATTGGATCTGGAAAACTAAGTCGAATCCACAGCACGCTGAACGAAGTATGTGATTCCTAAGTTTGTTGATGCGTGGACGTTAACGCACTGCACCGTACTATAGCGTACCGCTACACAAAGTACCGTCTAAAACCTTGTATTGTACCGTAGAGACTGTGGTGGACTTTGCCCCCTCGGAAGCCGAGACCACGAAGTCACGAAGTGCATTTCGGAGATGCATATTTCTGAGGGCGCGGGATTTTTTTTTCCAACCGAGGGGGCAGGTCCGAGGGTTGGATGTTTTGCAGTTCGGTACCTAATCAGAAGCGCCGTTAGAACACCCCGTTCCAAAGGTGCACCGTGCCCTACCGGATAAATAGGCAATTTCTAGTTTTGAGACTATGTGTTACGGGTGCAATGGAAAGAGGTAGCGAGGATTGCACTATGTGAGTCAAAAGTACAGAGTATGAGCGAAGGCATGAGAGAATACTTATGTGCGAAACATGCAACGGTTATGCGGTGCGTGCGAGCTAGCTAGTGCTAGGCTGGCATCGAGGTTTGGGCTAGTCCCAAAGCGTAGGCCGACTCGGCGAGGCCAGCGGTGCATGGTTTGGTAAAACAGTGCGCGCGAAATTGGCGAAGCCCCGTTAGAAGTAACGGGCGAACAACGGTTGCTGCTGTACGCAATGTTGATGGTCGCGGTAAGGAATGTCGAGAAAAATCCTTACACTACCCCCCCCCCCCCCCCCCCCCCCCTTCAAGAAGCCCCCTCCGCTACGCGAGTGTGTGTATATCGCGGAAAACCCGGCTCCTCAGGTACACTTGCAGGGCAGGGTGGTTTTCAATGTTGGCCAGGGGCACCCAGCTGTCTTCAGTTGGCGTGTGGTCCTTCCAGCAAACGAGGAACTCGATCCTCTTGATGCATGTGGGGTGTCGAATCCGATGGCTCAGAATATTTTCGGGCTCAGTGGTCGCCTCCGATGCAGGGCGAGTCATGGATGGCGGGCGGTGACGAGGCAGTTGGCTTGTGGTGGGGATGTAAGGGGGAAGCAGGCTGACGTGGAACGATGGGCTGATGTACAAGTCTGTCGGCAACAGTAAATGGGCGGTAACTTGGGTGATCATGTGGCTGATTTGGAACGGTCCACAGTATCGCGGTCGAAGTTTCGGTACGACGGGCAGTCTTAAGTTCTGTGTGTCGAGCAGTACGTAATCCCCTGACTGGTACGTGACTGGGCGGCGGTGGCGGACAGCGTTTCGTTTTGCGATGACGTTGGATTTCTTAATTGCTTGTGCGTCTCTGGTGCGGGCAGCTTGCAGAATCTCGGCAAATTGATGTGCGCGTGGCGTTGGGTTGTCCGGACTCGGCGTCATGGGCACTGTTGGATTTTGCCCATAGTTCAGGTAAAACGGGGTCTGCTGCGTCGTCGCTGACGTGGCGTTGTTGTACGCGAACTCGATCAATGGCAGCTGTTGCTCCCATGTTGTCGAGTCGTCGCACGTGGCGCGGATCAACTGCTCCATGGTCTGGTTCGTCCGCTCCGTTTGACCGTCGGTCTCGGGGTGGTACGACGAGCTGAACTGTAGCCTGGTCCCAAACTGCTCCCAGAGGTTCTTCCAGAAGTTGCTGGTGAACTTCGTGTCGCGGTCGCTGATTATCGCGGCTGATATCCCGTGCAGTCGAACGACGGTTGCGATGAACAGGCGAGCGGTTTCTTCGGCTGAGATCGATTTCCTGCACGCAGCGAAGTGAGCCATTTTTGTGAGTCTGTCAACGACGACCATTACCGCGTTGTTACCCCCAGGGTTCGAAGGTAACCCCGTGACGAAATCCATGGTAACCTGCTGCCAGGCGCGCCCGGGCGGTGGAATCGGCTGCAACTGACCCGCCTTTCTTTTTTCGCGAGCTCTTCATCACCTGACACGTAGGACACGAGCCCACGTGGTGCTGTACGTCGGTCAACAGCTCCGGCCAGTAGTAATACCGCTGCAGTTGCTGTCGCGTTTTTTCTACCCCGAAGTGACCCGAGGTAACCCCGTCGTGTGCCTCCTGCAGTAACAGCTCCCTCAGTAGTGAGTACGCGGGTACCCAGAGGCGGTTGGTGCCTGTTTTTACGTAACATACTCCCTTTGCTTCTGCCAGATGCTGTAAATTTCCGGTCGTGAAGGATGGGTCGGTACTGTATCCGTGGGTAAATATGCCTGTTAGCAGTGGGTTGGTTTGGGCGAGTAGGATGGCGTGAAGTTGGGCAGTGGGGCGGGTGAGTGCGTCAGCGATATTCGACGCTCCCTTTTTGTACATGACGGTGTAGTGGAAGTTGGACTCCAGATAGTCCAACCAGCGAATCTGTCGCGGATTGAGGTTCGGTTGGGCGCGAAGGTACTGTAGTGCACAATGGTCTGTCCGTACTATCACGTCGGCTCCTGTCAGGTAGCACCGCCACATCTTGAACGCGTGCACGATCGACAGCATCTCGCGCTCGTGTATCGGGTAGTTGCGTTCGGGCGGGTGAAGTTTGCGGGACTCGTACGCGATTAGCTGAAGGCCGTTCCCGAAGTCCTGCAACAGTAGCGCCCACTACGATGTCACTGGCGTCGGTGACGAGCTCGAACGGACGGTGAGGATCTGCGATGCGAAGCACGGGCGGTGAGCATAAAATGTTTTTGAGGGCCGAGAAGGCAGCTTGCTCTTTCTCCCCCCACGTGTACTCAACCCCCTTCCTCAGCAGGTCGGTCAACAGGGCAGTCAACTTCGCCATGTCGGGGACGAACCGTCGCACGTAGTTGACGAACCCCAGAAAACTCTGCAACTCAGTCAAGTTTGTCGGCGCGTGCCATGCTTGAATCGTCGCGATTTTTTTCGGGTCTATTTCCACTCCGTCAGCTGAAATGATGTGCCCTAAAATCTCCAGTCTAACCTGTAGAAACTCACACTTAGAGGCTTTCGTCAGTAGGCGGTTCTCACTCAGTATTTTGAAAACAGCTTCGATGTCCTGTAGGTGCTGTGCTCGGTCTGTCCTGTAGATCAGTATGTCGTCTAAGTACACGATGACGCATTTATCTAAAAGCGGGCGGAAGGCTTCGTTCATGGTCATTTAAAATGTGGCGGGGGCGTTGGTCAGTCCGAAGGGCATTACCGTGCATTCGAATGATCCGTAGCGTGTTCGAAAGTCGGTTTTCGGGGAGTCGGGCGGTTGACACGGATTTGGTGGTAGCCTCCTCAAAGGTCGATTTTCGAGAAAACCCGGGATGTGCGCAGTTGGTCGTTCAGTTTGTCGGCTCACTGGATGGGGTAACGGGACTTGATGGTAACTTGGTTCAGTGCGCGGTAATCTATGCACATGCGAAATCCCCCGTCTTTCTTCGTCTTGAACAGTATCGGTGCTGCGAACGGTGACGAACTCGGGCAAATAAACTCTTTTTCGAGCAAGTAATCCAACTGCTTTCTTAACTCGTCCAGTTCGGGTTGGGTCAGTCGGAACTGTCGCTGTACTGTCAGTTGAAGGAAATTGGCCCCGCCCTCGCATGGGCAAAACTGACTTCGTGGTCGGGTGTGCGGGAGGTGCAGCCGACCTTCTGCAGGTGTACAAGGGTTGCCTGTACACGAGGTGTACTAGGGAATCCACGCAAGTGCCTCGTGCACATGTGCAAGTGGCGCAGCTGGTGCAGAGGTTCGCGGGTGTTCATCTGCGCAGGGTCGCGTCTGACCCTGCGCACCCTCGCGAATGCACAGGCGAATTTTGGCCAGAAATTCGAATGTGCCCTAATTTCGACCAATGAGGAGCTGACATTTTGGAATGTCGACTGAGGTGTTCGACAAAGGTGGTCGACGAAGGTCGCCGACCTGCGACGACGAAGGTCGTCAACTGATGATGATGAAGGTCATCTTCCTGCAGGGTTGCCAGGGAATTTATCTGGTTGACCGAGTTACCTGCTCGACGAGGTTCTTCGGAGGGTCGCGAACGTCGTCGAAGTTGCTGTGGCGAAGTCGACCGACGTGGCAGCACGTGGTCGACGTGGCTCATCAGGTGAAACCGTCAGCATGTGGCTGACAACCTGCGCAATGTGTGCGACAGTGCACGTCGTGCATAACTGTCTACAAGCACCTGCGAAGTAGGTGCTTGCACATGCGCTTACAATCACCGGCGGATGCAGTGCTGGCAAGCCGCGCGGATGCAGCATTGGCAAGCCGCGCTGGTGCAGCGTTGGCAGGCCGCCATCTGCAGCGTTGGCAAGTCGCACACAAGCTGCATTGGCGGGCCGCGGAGGTGCTGCGTTGGCAGGTCGACAACTCTGTCACGCTGGCAGTCGACCTGCCTGAGCACTAGCAAACCTTGCATGTGATGTAGTCAATCTTTGCCATTGCTTGTTCTCATTCTGAACTCTGTATTCTCAACATTCCTTAGTGAAACTCTTGCTGTTTTGCCCTGTGAAAACACGTCCTAGAGAACACAGACAGAGCTACGATCACTCTGAAAACTCGTGCCAACCCCGTAGTCTAGCTCCCACCGTTGTAGAGTTATTCTCCGCACTGTCGGCTGTGCCCCCTGTTCTAACTCTATCCTGTGGTCGTGAGGTCGCTGAGGTGGCAGTCCTGTCGGCAGATCGTCCCGAAAAATCCCACTGTACTGCTTCAGTAGCCCTGCCAAGTCATCCGGTACGTCGGCTAGGAGTTTCTGTAAATCCCCCCCTTTCTCTGCTGTCTCGGCTTCTCGAATGTCGACCGCGTACATGTCAGCTCCTGCCGCTACGGAGCGTTTCATCGTGATTGCGTTGACACGCACCGACGAAGACTCAGGCGAGCCCTAGCGAGGTAAGGCGGTGTTGTTACCGTTCACTCGCACGGTTCAGTCACCTGTTGTCCAGTCGATTCGC